GGTTGATAACTTGGTAGGTTGCTTTTGAGTGATCCTTTGGTAAACCCCACTCCTTCCTAGTCTCTTTTTACGTTTCAATGATGGATAAACAGCACTCGACCTTACTGACTCGATATTAACAAACATTTGCCTCCTCCCTTGAGGAACCCCATCTTCGAAGTTCCAAAGACTGAACGACAGTGCGCACTGCTCCATCCTACTTTTGGAGTAACGAGGCAGTTGTCAGCTCTCATACTGCACTGCTCCACCTACAGGTACAGTCTCTCTACCGTACAAACAGAAATAGGCTCGAATTTCCAATTTTCGAAAGATGTTTTCAAGGAAAGGCTCTGTAAACAACATTTTCGAGTGTTTACTATGGCCCTCTCTGATGCTTAAAAATTTCTTGCAATAAATGTGCGCGAATAAATTTTAATGGCCATCATGTATAAAGCTGTCTCGGAAAGAGATTGTACTAGGTTAAGCAGAAGAATCTTCTGAAAACTTGGTTCGCCTCAGAGTTCTTCCGAGACCCTCTGGAAGCTTCTATTGGTTTTTACGTGAGGATACTGGCCACCCGTNCTATTCCTTATTAGCCAGTAGTATTGCGTGAGTATTGCACCAACTCCTCTTATTCAACACTTCTTTACAGGTTCCGGCTATTTTGAGGCTGAAACTAAGCGAGGCTTAGGTCAAGTATTCTGCCCCCAAGCCTTTTCTTAAGAAGAATCTGGACTGCCGCAAAATTTTCGAATTTTTGGCACATACTCCTTGGTGTCACTTTATAAAGTGTCAGTCCTGGTCGACAGAGCTACGATACAATGTTAGGATCTGCGATTGCGATAGCACCGATGAAAAGAAGAATAACGGCCCGCTGTGGTTAGATTATAGGTCATACATCAAAAAAGTTAGAAACATGTTTTCTGCGGCTTCGATTGTACGGTGGCTGCTTCGATGGAACTCATGGGGTTGATGGGTAAATAATGAAAGTTTATGCAATATGATAATACCTTTTTATTGGTCATCTGATGAGATAATTGACGAATATGTTAAAGTTTCGCAGTAGACACTGTTATGGTCACTAGACATCCTAGGAGCGGATGTGTGAAAGTCTTGCGGATGTTTCATCGTTAAGCTCATAATCGCGCCTATTGACAAGACCTTGACCAACTGAATACTACGGGAGACAGGAAAAGATTTTTAACTAAGTGCTTACCCACGTTCGGCAGTAACAAAGAAGGAGGTCAAGGTCAACCTAAGGCAAAAAGTCTCGAAAATGAGTCATGAGATCTTAGACTACTTTTTTCGTTTTTCCTCTGAACTAATCAACCAAGACCAGCTAGTAAAATTCTGTTCGCAAAGTAAGTTGGAGAGGGCCTTGCTCTGCTGCATAGTAAGTTTAAGAAAGATTTTCCCTTCCCAGGGATCTTTCCGTAATTTTTTGATTAAAGGCTACTCTGCTTAGATGTCTTTCCTGGCATAAAAGATAGTGAAAGCAGAAGACTGTCTCTACTCCTTTGCTAGTCTCATTCAAGTGTTTTCTTCCTAAGGAGCTACTGATATGTGGGATCTGTGAGCTCAGGGGGAACGTGCGCATGATTCTACTGCCTACCGTAGTGAGATCTCGCCGTTGGGTGACGTGCACTACGTGCGTTCGAGGACGCGCGCGTCAAGTTGCGCGGCGAAATTCGTGACTATTTGTACGACTCTGACGCCAATTTTCGGGGCACAAACTCGAAGTAGAGTAGTTTAGTAGGGTCAGATGATCCATTTTATCTACTCTACTTCAAATTTGGGAGCCAATGATAGGCGCTAAAGTCGTTCAAATCGTTACGAACTTCGCCGCACAATTCGTCGCTCGCATACTCGGACGCACGTAATGCCACCCCGCCGCTTGCGCTTTCGTCGAGAAAAGCGCATCATCAGAGTGTTCTATAATTCGATGCTGAAAGTCTTGTCAGACTAGCTGAGGATCCAGTGTTCACTTAAAAGTAACTTACCTCACAGTACGTCTCTACGCGGATTCATTTCCTTGTAATGTTTTTTTTCACAGTTGAACCAGTCCTAGAAAGAGCAGCGAATAACGGCAGTGATTCCATTCACCTTGTACCTGATTTCAATTTGATTATGCAGTTTTTGTGCAAATTTTATGAGACACAACTTCTCAGATGTCAACATTTTACCCGGAGAATCATGTTTGTTAGGCTCGTCATTTTTCAGATTGCAGGACTTTTACGAAGCTGGGTATTTAAAAATCTTAACTGGACAGAATGCTCCGGATAGTCTAGAACTCCCTGAAAACGTCCTGTTATTCAAGCGTTTGGAGCATACGCCCACGTAAATCCATTAGCCATCATCAGAAAAGCCGGCGTTCTCTCCTGATGCACTTTCCATTTGCGCGATATTGTAAGAAAGTTTCCGGTTGAATGGAGACACTTCGCAAGCTGTTGGAACGATTCTAGCGGATTTCCTGGAGCTGCTCCAAGTAGGAGCACAACACAGGGCACTGGTTATGAAAGAAGAAAAAACTTTCAGTTCCGATTTTCTGATTGAGCCATTCGTTTTATTTCCGACAAGGCGCTGTTTACCGAACATTCGGATGGGTTACATAAAAACTTTCGAAAAGTTAATAACAAGGTTGATAGCTCCATGTAATTTTTGAGATCTGTGCAGAACGTAAAATTCAGTATTTTCTATTATGAACTAATTTGATTTTATTAATTTTTCTTTTTATTGTTGTTGTCAGGTTTAATTTTTGTAGCTTTGGTAAGCCGTTGTTCCAATAAAGTGCCAACCATCCTTTCCTTTCGACATTCTTTGGGTATTGGCTGGAAACAACCCAATACAGAGCCAATTTTCTCAGAGTTCAGCAATCTCAGAATGATTGGGGGTGAAGANGGGGGGGGGGGGGGGGGGGGGGGGGGGGGGGGGGGGGGTGGTTATTGGATGACTTTTGGAGCGTGGTTTATTAGCTATGTCCCATTCCGTATTACCTTAATGTCCCATTTCTCTATACCCGCTCCAGTCTCGATGCTTCTCCAAGAGAAAATCGAGGAAATTCATTTCGAGAAGAGTCTCTTTATTGTCACGTTCAAACTTATAAAAAAGATTAGGACCCTTCTCTTGAGAAACTTACCCATTACGGGGCTGGAAACGGGTTGTACAATTCAACCGGCCACTTCCGACACTAACTTTTGAACAAAGGCCTTCACTGCAGCGTTCTTCTTTTTCCTTCTTACTCCCACGTGGGCCGAATCACAAGCTCTTCGTTCTTCCCTGCGTAGAGGATGCGCCACACAGGCGACATCCTTCAAAGGCATGGAGGCCCTCAAACCGACGTGGATGTGGCTTCGAGAAGTTTGCTGATGTATGGATCAGAATTTCTGCCCTTTCAAAAGGTATTTACTGAATAGTGGGCACAGAAGTGGCTCGAGCATAATTGTGCAGGAATGGCAGCCCCACGGAATTATAGTCATTTCGAATATTTCGTTCATGCGTTCTGAATGTGGCTGGAAGTGGTCGCTACAGCTTTTTATGGCGAGTTTAGAGATTCCATATTTCACGCTTAGTCGTCACGGTGAAGTGTCCAGACGTCACAAGTCGGCGCCCACTTTCTTAGAACAACCTGGAAATTGTTGACGAGCTTGGGTGTTGCACTTGCAGCCGTCCGGTGCGTGTCAAAACGCCTGAAGAAATTCGGGTATTTAAGTGCGAGGCTCTTTTTTCAGTCGTCGAGGACGATAGGGACGGCTATATAATTGAAAAGCGAGCCGATCGATCGTCAAAATAGGAGCGACTCATTTCAGCGATGGCTGTGTGAGAGCTATTAAGGACGGTGGGAGAACGACGGCTTTCGTCCTCGGTAAAAGTTCATCACTCCCTCATGTTCCCATTCACCCCATCAAACTCGCGCCCATGCCATCAAAGCCGTTCGATTGCAATCGCCTCCATATCGTTCATTTCCATCGTCGTTATCGCAGTTGTTAAATGAAGTACGCAAAGTTTTTCGCAAGCAATAATGCTGATTTGTCCATGAGAAGAGTGCACTCGTTCTGGACGGCAACCACAAGACGGGGGCGGGCCACCCAAGAGAGCGGAGGTGGGGCGTGTCACCTTTTGCGTGGAGTACCGCTGGCCAGCGCCTCCGCCATACCACCGCTTTCTTTTGGCACCGGGCTTGTCAGGCTACAGCGCCAATTGGCGACGACACCACTCGACAACTCTCGGACATCACGCCAAATGAGCCCCGACACCTTTCTGCTGTTGCACCTGCCAAGGCTGATCAGACATCGACTGTCCAGTCGACTATGATCTTTTGCCTAAGCTTACTGGCAATAATCACAGATGCACATCTGGCTAAACAAGGTGAGCTCCCTATCTCAGCAGATTCCAACTCAGAAGACTGTCGATTGACATTCAAAGTCACGTGTTTGGCTTGGGGACTTTCATGTCGTGTTCTGCTTTTTGAGTTGTCGCGAAAAGTTTTTTCTCAAAGACTCACTTCAGCTTCGATCACTTCGCTTTATGAAGTGCATCCGGCAGTGTTTAGCCATTCTACCTTCAGCCAGCTGGCTGATGGCTACCTGGTTGAAGGCAAGTTTAGGTTCTGGAATTGCTGTTAGAAACAATTGCTGCTCACTTCAGTTCCTGTGGGCGTTCTATATGTTCTCTCCCAAACTATTTTACGCCCGATTAGCTTTAAAATGTAGCATTTCTGCAAAATGGTGAGGTCTGGTTGGTCCTTATGCGAATAACCTCGAATGGCTGGGAATTTCATGATGCCATCAAATTTGGAGCTGATTTGCTCAAAAAACAAGATAAAGGGACAATAAGTTATAAAAATGCTGTCCAATCACCTGTCCATCGCCTAATGTGCCGTCACTCTTCAAATCACACGGATCAAGATCCTCTTCCCATCCGAAGAAAGTCGAACCCTTCATCAAAAGCAACCATTATAAGTTGGGCAAAATTTTTGAAACTTGCTTGATTGTACCATTTCCAAAACCTCTTAAATCTTTTGTTATTTGGTCTGGCCTTTAATACTTCTTACCTCTTGAATGAAGCAGAGAAATTCGAGTAGTTGAGAGTGTGAGCTCATTTCTACACTGAGACTGACCACGAGTTCGGTTCCTGCCGAGGTAAAAAACATGCCTTGGAAATATGGTGTCGATACCAACGTTAGGCCCAGGTTGACAACTGGCTGATAGAAAAACCCAGTCACGAAAGCCATGTACGAAGTGCCTAAGGAAGAAGACTCCTGGTTTTGAATATTTATGGTTCAATGCTGGAATCGCCTTTATTGGTAGAAGTGAGATGCGTAGCGTACTCCAAAAACTCTACTGAACACCTACCCCCTCTTATTTTCTATTATCAATTTTTCGATTTTTTAAAACCTCCCTTGCAATCCTTTTCTCGTTCTTACTGTACTGAAGGAATTTGCCGATTTCCCTGATCAGTTCCACGCGGGCAAAAAATTCGAAGAAGGGCCTTTTGTTGATCTTTAAGCGCTTAAATATTGAACTATATTTTACAAAATTGTAATTGTAGTGATACGATCGTTTTGCAGGATCTTCGTGTCAGGACACTGTTGCACGATGCGAAGCGGCGGAAGAATGTCGTTGGCATTTGGGGGAGTTACGAGTGCGCTGTGCTCCAAACTCTTGCCGGCGTTCGGATTGTGCTGCGGTGAGTGCAACTGGAGGTTTATTTATGTGTGGCTTCAACAAATCCAATCAATCGATAAAAGTGAATGATCAAAAAAGGTTTTCCATGAACGAGCTAGGCATATGTTTAAAGTGCTACCTAGTCTATGCTACCGTGTGATCCGGGTGATCTAAGTCGTAGCTCATCCCTCCCCGTTCCTTCCCACTCTTACTGCTGCTTTACTCCAGATCTTCACACACGTCCTCTTCTATACAAATATGCAATTTTTTTACACAAACAAGGTTATCCTGGTATCCTTGTGGTTATTTATGCAAAGGATTCACCTCTCCCGCTATCAGGTCCAGTGGGAATACTTTTCACCGAGCAATTTCATCTGCGGAAATGGTAGGTGTTTGGCATCACATCTCGCAGGGTTGAAAGAATTACCCTCCCCGGATTATGGGCGCTACGATTTTGCATGAAAACTCTGTTCTGAGTCGAACGGGGTTGAGTGGGAAGAATTTCCGTGGCAATGGAGACGCTTCGCAATCGGGTTTTTGTGATCCACATTGTTTTTGGCCCCACTTTATCTTTGCGGTTCGCGCGCTTGGAATTCTACTGACTCGCTTCCCTCGATGAAAGAATTTCTTTTGTTCCAAACTAGCTCATTTCCAACCTATCATTTGGCTGAAATTTTCCTTCCTTGTGTTTGTCCCACCTAGATGAAAGGTCCGCTGGGTTGGACTGTTGAGGAACGTGATTTCACCAGATCTCTAGGCTATCTATTCAAGTAGATTTTCTCATCGTGAAGTATCTATTTTTCTGGCAGCAGTCTGATGAGAGATCGCGATCTACGCGATTTTAGTTTTCCATTCATAGCGGTTACCAGACACCACGAACCATGAAGTTTCCTTCCGGAAGCCACCTGCTGCGTCCAGAAAGCCCACAAATCATCGCTTCCGTTTCAGGCTCTACAACGATTTGCTCGTTTTGTGCCATTCGCTCTGGTCGAGTCGATGATGTTCTGCCACTGCTCGGCCGGCGATTCCCTTTGTGCCCAACAACAGGTGGGTTGTCATGACCTTTGCTGAGCTCTTCATTCACTGCTCTGCTGTCATCACATTAGTGAGCAGTTTCTTGCTTCTTGTAGATTTCCAACATTTCCTATTAACCAAAAAACGTCTGTCAGCTAACTCCAAATGGGTGACCCGACGTCTGACTCCCTCCTAATTGCCTATTTGGCGGCGGTCGTCTGAAATGGGCGCAGAGTTTCCTGCCGCGACATATGTGTGCATGAATTCACCGTCAATCTAATAAACGACCTTCGAGAAGTGCTGGTCGAGTTCCTTCTTGAACTCCCCAGTTCGAGTTTCCCAAACTAGCCATCCTGGAGCCGATAAGAGCATGTAAGGTTCCAGAGGAATATCCAAAAGACTTCAGTAGGGTCAGTAGTGTTGGAGGGGTTTCTCTAATGGTTTCGGCTTTGTGGAAAAGTTGAATATTCATTTGGAGTGCCGCTGAGTTTGAGGTCCACACATCATACTCAAAATAATTCATATCTTTCAGGCATAAATCCAATTGTATAACCACGGTCCAGCAACAATCTCCTTATCTGTAAATCATATAACCTAGCTCACCCTCATTAAAATTAATCTTCTTAAAAGAGGGACTGCTCCCATTGACCTTCAAAAGTTTTTCGATTAAAAAAAATAAGCCAAACCATTACAAATCTAAAAAACTCGAGAA